TTCTGCTCGTGCTATCAAATGTGTCTTCTTGGGCTATTCCCACCTTCAAAAAGGGTATCGGTGTTACTCTCCTGAAACCAAGTACTACATGTTTGCCAATGTTACATTTTTTGAACAGACGCCTTACTTTTCTGCTTCTGTTCAAGATGTTCATGTCATACAGCAGGTTCTTCCCATTCCAGTAGTTGAGTCTAATATTTCCAATGTCTCTATCGATCTCAGTCGTGATCCAAATCTTCCTGAACCATCCTCCCCTCAAATTGATGTTGCCAATCATAGGACCCCGATGGCTAGTCCTGTTCTCCAAGAAGAGGGTGAATCCCCCACTTTAGATTCTTCTCCAACATCGCTTCTTACCATGACCCATGATGAAGGTGATTCAGGATGGCCCATTGCTCTCAGAAAAGGTAATCGTTCCACTCGAAACCCACATCCTATTTATAATTTTCTTAGCTATCACAGATTGTCGTCTTCCTATTGTTCCCTTTTATCCTCAGTATCTTCTATTGCTATTCCAAGAAATGTGGAAGAAGCACTTGATCACCCTGGATGGCGACAAGCCATGATTGCAGAAATGCAGGTTCATGACCATAATGCTACTTGGGAGCTCGTGCCCCTTCCACCGGGCAAAAAGGCAGTTGGTTGTCGCTAGGTATATGTTGTTAAAGTCGGCCCTGATGGTGCAGTTGATCGGCTCAAGGCTCGGTTAGTTGCAAAAGGGTACACTCAGGTTTATGGCCTTGATTATTGTGACACTTTCTCTCCCGTGGCCAAGATGACCACTATTCGTCTGTTCTTTGCAATGGCTGCCATTCGTCAGTGGTCACTTCATCAATTAGATATCAAAAATGTCTTCCTACATGGTGATCTTGAGGACAAAATTTACATGGAGCAACCTCCTGTGTTTGTTGCTCAGGGGGAGTCTGGACTGGTATGCAAATTGCATCGCTCTCTATATGGCCTCAAGCAATTACCACGTGCTTGGTTTGGAAAATTTAGCTCCATTATTCAAAAATTTGGGCTAAGACACAGTGAAGCAGATCATTCAGTCTTTTATTGTCATACATCTCTGGTTAAATGTGTTTACTTAATAGTATATGTTGATGATATAGTCATTACAGGAAATGATACTGTTGAAATATTTCAACTGAAGGAGTACTTGTGCAGACATTTTCAAACCAAGGATTTGGGAAGCCTAAAATACTTCTTGGGCATTGAAGTGGCTCAATCAAAAGATGGAGTTGTAATCTCTCAGAGAAGATATGCTCTTGATATATTACAAGAAACAGGTATGATTGACTGTAGACCTGTAGAGAGTCCTATGGACCCAAATAAGAAATTAACAGAAGAAGGTGAAGTATTCTCTGATCCAGAGAGATATAGGAGGCTGGTCGAAAAACTTATTTATCTCATTATTACAAGGCCTGATCTATCTTTTGCTGTTGGAGTGGTTAGTCAGTTCATGCAGGCTCCATGTGCTGGTCATTGGAATGCTATCATTCGCATTCTAAGGTACCTTAAAAAGGCTCCCGGGCAAGGATTGTTATATGAAGATAGAGGAAGCATTTAGGTCACTAGGTACTGTGATGCAGATTGGGCAGGTGGGCAGGTTCACCTGTTGATAGATGGTCTACCACTGGATATTGTGTCTTCCTTGGAGGAAACATTATTTCATGGAAAAGTAAGAAACAGAATGTAGTGGCTTGATCGACAGCTGAAGCCGAATATAGGGCAATGGCGTCACTAACTTGTGAACTTATATGGGTGAAGCAGTTCATTCAAGAGCTTAACTTTTGTGATATCCAGACTATGAAGATGTATTGTGATAATCAAGCTGCTCTCCACATTGCATCAAATCCCATATTTCACGAGAGAACTAAACATATAGAAATTGATTGTCACTTTGTTCGTGAAAAGTTTTGACAAAAGAAATATGTACCGAGTTTGTTGAATCAAATGACCAACTCGCAGATGTGTTTACCAAGTCCTTAAGGGGACCTCGGATTGAGTTCATTTGTTCCAAGTTTGGTACATACAACTTGTATGCTCCAGCTTGAGGGGGAGTGTTGGAATAAATTAGAAAATATATGTAATCATTATACCTAAGGTAGGAGGTTGAGTGTTAAATAATCTCTGCAGGGGGTTGAGTGTTAAATAATCTCTGCACCTAGTTCTGAGGAGTAATCTAGGACTGTGCATTTAATGTAATCTCCCTATTGTATCAGTTTTTATCTATATAAATAGAGAACCGTGAGAGGGGTTCTTCAAGCCCTCTAAAAACACTTTTTCTCTGTTTTGAATATCAAGTTTTATTTTTCAATGCTTCGAAGAAAATTTTGCGAGATTGGACGTGAGGAGTTTGGAGAACTGCTCTTAGATTAGAGATTTTCATCTTAAATTGTTGCATATCATCATTCGAGATTAGAGGGGGAGTAAGGAATATCTCATGTATGGATGCTTATAAGAATTAAGGGTAAAGAGACAACCCCTAAGCCTCAATAGGATTTTGTTGTGTATCTTTCCTATGAAAAGGTTTTAAACTTAATTATAAATTCAATTATTGATTTGTATTGCTTTTAAGATCTTAGGATCCTATTTATGCAAATTGATTGGGATTCCAAGAGGACCCCTTAGACCTCAATAAAAAAGTGAGAATATCTTGAATTAAATTTAAATCTCATAATTTATATATCAATTATTGATTTATATTGTCTTTAGGATCTTGCAATCCTATTTAACGTTTAAAGATTACGAACACATTTAAGGATGATTTGCTTCAAAATTGGAAAACACAATTTACTCGCCTAAGTTAATTAGGTTTATGATTGCATGTGTTGGTAAGGTGACATTTGTTCGTATTTAGTTCTACCTGATTTCTTACATGTGTCTGTAACATATGTGAGATATATTTCACACTCCTCTATTTTTGTTATTTGTTTGGCCTGAACACCTTTACAGGTGAACTAATTTTTTATTAGGAGGAAGAGATTGGTGATAAAGCGTAGGCTTCTCTTATTTTTATTTTATGAGATGCTCTTATTAGGTATGACATTGGGACAGAGAGAATTACGAACTTGTAAAGGTCACTCTAGTGCCTAAGAGATTTTATTTTGAAATCTTATTTTCCTTTATCTTTGAGTTTTATTTAAAGAAGTGATATATGTGAATTAATGTTATCAAAAAAACAGCCATGGCATAGCCATGGTGGAAATTTTGTCGACGACCATTCCAAGGTGATAGCGAATCAGGGTTTGCATGGCAGCCCATAAAGGTCGCTTCGGTTGTCACGGAGTGGTCATGGCCAAAATCTAGCTCCCACAACTGCGTAACTTGCGTCAAGAGGTGGAAGAAGATGTGTCGGTTTTGCATGACCACCTGACCAAGAACTAGCCTAGGGTTTATACTAATGCTTTGTTGTTTTTGTGAGTTTTATTTTGGGTTTATAAGAGATCCAACCCACTAGCAAGAAAAAAAAAGGAAAAAAAGTTAGGTTAGTAACCCAACCTAAACCTCACATCCCACCACACATCTCTCACACTTCTCCCTCACCGCATTGAGGCATCGTCTGCCATCATCACTGTTGTTGTTGTCTTATTCGTTGCCATCTTCGTTGTTGTTGTTGTTATCGTCACCCCACGTTTAATTTGTGGCTTTTTTTTTCTTTTTATGTTCAACTCCAATTTCTTTTTCATTCATATGCAATGAATCAACTATTAATTTTCCTTTTTCCCTTCCCTTTTGTTTTTTTCATTTCATTCTAAGTTTATTTTGTCCCATTTCTTAAATTTTTTATAATTTATATATCTAAAAAAGTTAATACATTTTTTCAAGAACTTCAATGTCAACTAAATAATGCAATTTAGAACTTAAATTTGATGATGTTTTGTTTTGATTTTCTGTTATTTGAAATTCTACACTTGATATAAATTATTATTATTATTCCACGATTCTTCCATCATAACCCGTTATAAGATAAGATAAATTTTCATAAAGGATTTTTGGGTTGCTGATATTTACCATTATCCAATATGTGAATCATTTTCCCTTCTATTTTCTGTATTTTATTAATTATTAAATGAAAACATTTTAGGATAGAAGGGTGTTACAACATATCAAACAAAATTTAATTTAGAAGGCACACATTTGAGAAAATTGACAATAAGGAGGTACTCACATGTTAGCACACAAAGATGTATAGGAAGGAAGTTTTAAGAGAAGTATCCTTAAATATTTTAAACACATGTTCATGAACATACCTCCAGACAAGTATTATCTTATCTTCTCAAGCTAATTTATTAGCCACTGTCACTGCTTGTAAGGCCATAACCTACAACTACCCCTAAAAAGTTTTGTTGCAAAAAATCCTTCTTGATTGTAGATGATCTTCCATACAGACCATTTATCCTCAACTATATAGGGTAGTGATTGCAGGGTACAATACTTGGCAATCAGCTATCCTAGTCCTAGAGGTATGAATCTAATCATCTTCAGTAGTCTGTATAGCATAAGATTATATCAAACACTTTCATGTATGATACCTATGATTTTAAGCATTCATATCTTCTCACCAGCAAATAGCAGTTAGCATTACATCTCAGTTTTGTGTTTTCCATTTTACACAACAGGGGCCACACACAACCGTGGCCTGCAGCAAGGTGTTATCATTCAGATGGATCCTTAAAAATGCAGAAAGAGCACAATATATGAAATCCTTGCATATATGCCAAATAGAACTCTCCAGTCTTCACTTCCCTTCTGTTTTCAAAACATTGAGGATCCAGACTAATGGAGCCTATCATCACCCTTCCCCCTACCACTCCCCCAAGCAATATAACGTTTAGAGAGCAGAAGTTGTCTGTAGATCACATTATAATGAACATGACTTTACAATATACTATCCGCTTCATACAAATTTTTCATCATACAAAAGGATAAATATGAAAATAAATTGGTTAGTTAGGTATAAACACAAACAAAGCACGTGTAAAATAGGAACTAACCATAGCAATAGCTTCTGCAACATCCTCCTTGTTTCTTCCTGCCACTCTCCCTTTTAAGGATTGCAGTGCATCTCGGAGCTTCTTCAAAAGAACATGCTTCTCCAGTGAAGCAGCTTCTCTGAGTCGAGCCTGAGTCCCACCACCATACAAAAAGATTAGAAAAGATAACAACATGAAGGTCACTGCAAATTATGAATAATGATAATCTCAATACAAAAAAAATATATATATATAATAGAATTCTTAAGTTGAAATGCTCTCCAACACTAACCACTACATTGGTATTACAAAAATAAGTTGAATACTAAATATGAAAATGATGAATGATGACCTCTTCAGACAACTTAGCAGCAGCTGCCAAACCCTTCTCAAATTTACTGGCAAGATCACGAACCGACATTCGTTTCTGCTGTTCCAACAGCTGTGCAGTCTCACGTGCAACAACCTCCTTCATAGATAGCACTTTTGGATCATCCTTTGCCTCCATGATCTGATTATGAACTCCAATTTTGTAATTAGGAAACCGAAGAGAAGCAAATATTACATCGGCCGACACTGCTGGCACTGCATCTTTCTGCATAGTATCCCCAAAATCACGGGTCATCCTCGTCATTTTCACGATCTATCACTTCTGCCAGTCACAAAAAATGCAATCTTTAGAACAGATTATTCCACTTAAAGCAGTCCAATGGATTTTACAAACAACCCAAAAGAAAAACGGAGCATTCACTCAGAGAAATGCATTATCCAAAAAAAACAGAATAAAATAATAAAAAAGCAAACCCCAAATCAGAAACTAATTAATAGGAGATACCACTAATCCACTCTACCCACTAAGCTTATTGAAATCAAAACAAAAATCTGACACAGCTCCTCTAATAATGAAACTAAACCCTAACCCATCATCTTATCACATTTTTTTCCATTTTTTCAGTTGCAAGGTATGAGGGAAAAGCAAGCCAACCAAAAAGAGACAAACAAAACTTTAACTTACAGATCATGAAATGACAAAAAATTGGTACTTGAGTTGGGATTCTTAGATCAGATGCAAAGGGGTTGCTGAAGTTTTGCTATCCACCAACAGGTCGCAATGAGTGAGGGAATAGGGAAGAAAAGATGGTAGCTTTGCTTTTTGAAAGGAAAAAGAGAATGGCGCCCCAGAGGTGGCCCCTAAACAAGTTTGTGTTTTAAGTGTTAACGTTTTTGGTTGTATTATTTCCACGTAGGATTCTGTCTTTCCCCATGCTTTATGCTAGAAACCAATGTTTTTGAAAACGGCAAATGTTAAACTTTTTCATAAATAATACTATTTTTAAAAATATTTCCTAAAATAACACATCTAAAACATTATTTACACAACTAACATTATTTACTGTTCACGTATTAAAATAAAATCGATTATTTCGTGCAATCAACTCTCGCTCAAGCGAAGAAACCCTTCGTTTGAGCGAGGAAATCTGTAACAAAAGGGTAATCTCGGGTCAATTCTCGCTCAAGCGAAGAAACCTTTCGCTTGAATGAGGAAATCTGTAACAAAGGGGTAATTTTTGGTCAATTCTCGCTCAAGCGATGGGTATTTTCGCTTGAGCGAAAAGTAATTAAAATATGTGGTGACCCAAGTTGCGTTATGTGACTAACTGCGTTGGACGTTTAGCCTGTGGTTAATTCTCGCTCAAGCGATGAGTTACTTCGCTCGAGCGAGAATTGATTGGGTAACTGCGTTGGACCGTGGTCAATTCTCGCTCAAGCGAGACATCCATCGCTTGAGCGAAAACATTTATAATCGATTATAATTTGAACTAATCGATCATAATTTTAAAATAATTGAATATACAAAATTATGATCGATTATTTATCTCTCGCTCAAGCGAAGAAACTTCGCTTAAGCGAGGAAACCTGTAACATATATGTGTCACTTTTAATATCATATATGTGTCACTTTTAAGAGCGATTAATATTTTAACTGCTCTTAAAAGTGAACATATAATAGCGGTTCCACGTTAACCGCTATCTAAAATATATTTTTAATAACGGTTAGTTCTAGAACCGCTATCTAAAATCTCGGGTCAATTCTCGCTCAAGCGACGGGTACTTTCGCTTGAGCGAAAAGTGATTGAAATATGTGGTGACCCAAGTTGCATTATGTGATTAACTGCGTTGGACGTTTAGCTTGTGGTCAATTCTCGCTCAAGCTTCCAGATACCCATAATATGTAAAGAAACAAAGAAAAGAAACTAGAACAATCAAACCCAGATTATGCGGCTCCTGCAGAATGAGTTTCTTCAAAACTTTTCATAAAACTTTCTAAGTTATTTTAACTGATAACAACAAGTTTTAATCGATTAAAACAGTTAGCAAAAAGTTCCTTAAATAACCTTTGACTTCATCAAACCCACAAGATCTTTGTTTTATCAAATGATTCAATAAGATCTTCATCACTTTCAATTAATTGAAAAACTCCTAAGTTTCATACATTGAGACATTTCTTAACTAACACAATCTAATGATGCGAAGTACATGCACGTGCAACATTGGGACATGTTCTTCTGCTATGACCAGGGGTATGACAATATGAACATTTTTTAATCCTACTTTGATTTTCTGTAATGTCCATCTCAGTTCTTATACGACTTGATTTTGGTCGGCCCTTTGAAGTTCTTTTCATTTCTGGATTTGCACACAAAGTAGGTCCTGTGTATGTTGGCCAATATTTTTCATTTCGCAATAACCCAAATTGTGTTCCGTATACCTTTGAAACTTGTTGTAAGGTATACACTGAATTAATATAGTTGTTGAAGTCATGGTGTGCATGCTTGCATGCAGCAAGAACATGTGAACAAGGCATGTGAAATTTTTGGAATTTCCCACAGTCACACCATAACTTATCAAGGTGAACTGCAAACTTCCCTGTTGGTCGAACTTCACGCGGGTTTTGTGTTTCTTCTACTACAAATTTTGTGGTAGACCTGTCAAAAGGTATGACCCTATGCGTGTTTGCCTGTGTTTGTGTTTCCTCTAAATTTGTGACCAAAATTTTAGAGTATACATGACCAGCATTTATCATGGCATCTATCTGCCTCCCTCTTTCAATGAAAAATTTGTTACAGCGGGTGTACGTTGCGTTGACCATGGAGCAAATAGGTAGATTTCTTATTTTTTTCAAAACAGAGTTGATAGACTCTGCTATGTTGGTCGTCATGTGGCCCCAACGTCATCCATTGTCCCATGCAAGTGCCCATTTTTCTCTAAGTATCTCATCCAACCAATTAGCTGCTTTTATGTCACATTGCCTCAAGATGTTGTAATAATAGTAGAATCGTGGTTCAGTCATCCCATACGCTACAACAATATTAAAAAAACATAGTTAATATAAATATTTATTAGCAACAATTAAATAATGAATAAATTGTAACAAATTTGAAGCAAAGGACATCACTTGTTTCACCTTCAACCACTGCAAACGCAATGGGGAGGATGTTGTTGCGGCCATCTTGTGCTACTGCAACCAACAAGGTACCTCTATATTTTCCATACAAAAAAGTTCCGTCCACTTGAACAATGGGCTTGCAGTGAACAAATTCATCTATGCATGACCTAAACGACCAAAACACACGTTTAAAAATATTTGAATTTTGTTGAAGGACTTCACCTTGGTAAGCTGGTTGTGACTGCAGTTTGTAGATGAATCCGGGAACAAATTGTTGCATGGCTTGTAACAAACAAGGCAACTTCTTATACGAATCCTCCCAATTGCCTTATATGATCTCCACTGCCTTTTGTTTGGCCAACCAGGCCTTCCTGTATGTTATAGTGTAACCCGTTGTTAATTGGATGTGGGCTATGATTGTGGAGATTGGTGTTGACGAATCAGCATCAATTATTTGACCAATTATTTGGGAAATCATTTTATATCCCAACTTGTTGTGGTCTTGGCTGATTAATGACGAAACGCATGTATGGTGCCCTTCAAGCTTCATAATCTCCCAATATTGCTCTCTTGTGCGCAATATTGCTCGACATCTCCAATTGTATTGGTTATCAACACATTCAACAACATATCTACTTTGGTTTGAAATTTTCACCTTGTATGTGCAGTGATTGACAATGTGAAAGCGGTTGATGACATCTTGAACTTGTTCTTTTGTTATGAAACGTTGTCCAAGAAATAGAGTTCCTGTCGGAGAAACAAAAGACTCTCTGTCCAACGCATGACCATACTCTGGGTCTTGTTGTTGAATGTGATTTTCAAAGTTAAGAAAATGTTGTAGTGGGTTGTATCGTTCCATGAAGTTTGGTGCATGTGTAGGGATATGTGGTTGTTCGTCCTCTGAATCATCTTGGTGTTGGCTGAGAATTTCATCTTCGTCTTCATCCTCACTAAAAGGATCAACGACTTCAATTGGGAGGCCAACAATTTTGTTCTCTTGTGTGGGTAGTTCTTCGTTGATGTTGGTGGAAGACCCACTTAGAAGTTGGGTAAAAAGGATGTAGTCATTATGTGTGGGTATTTCTGGGTCAGTGTTTGGGAAAACTTGGTAGGGTAAGGGTGAAATTTCTGGTGAGTGTGTGTTGGGGTATGAAGAAGAAGAAGTTTTAAATGAAACAAAAATTTCAATACCACAGACTTGAGTTTGAATCATGAACATCGAACATGGCCTCCACGTCGTCATCATCTTTCAACTCAACAGCAATGAAGTTGTTGATCCCAACTCTGAGTCTAGTTGGGCAGCGAAAATGGATGGTTGCTACATTTTCGTGGGGTTCTTTCTCCAATTTCTTGTGGATAAACTTCTTCAACCTTTGTAGAGAAATTCCACTCTTTAAAGGAACAAGTTTTGCAGTCCCAGTATTGAAGGTAACTCCCTCCATGGGACATGGGTTCATGAAACCATCATAGTGGACAATAGTGGACACTACACCCATTTTAGGATTGTGGAACACAAAGAAGACTAAAGGTAAGAAGAAATAATGCGAATAGCTTCAGAGATTTAGGAGTGTGCAATGTGAGAACTTCAAAGAATGAAAGTGGTCTATTTATAATGAAGTCCATTGGTTTGAATCCAATGCTCCCTCACATGGTTTCTGACGCACACAAAACCCAAGCAAAGTGGGTGGGTCAACATCTCTTTAAATATGTTTGGATTCTTCTGCTTTTGTCTAACCCAATGCAGGGAATCCAAGATTGGAATCCTAACTTAGGTGGGTAACTCAGCATTGGATTCTTTACTTGTGTGCATCAGAAAGACATGGGAATCCTGACTTGGGTGGGTGACTCAGCATTGTAAATAGTTGCAGGTTTCCTCGCTCAAGCGATGGGTTTCTCGCTTGAGCGAGAATTGACCATAGGCTAAACGTCCAACGCAGTTAGCCACATAATGCAACTTGGGTCACCACATATTTCAATCACTTCTCGCTCAAGTGAAAGTACCCGTCGCTTGAGCGAGAATTGACCCGAGATTTTAGATAGCGGTTGCTATTAAAAGTATATTTTAGATAGCTGTTAACGTGGAACCGCTATTACATGTGTTTTTTGTTGTAGTGGGTTTCTTCGCTTGAGCGAGAGAGAAATAATCGATCATAATTTTGTATATTCGATTATTTTAAAATTATGAT